ATATATATATAGTATATACCAATCTTGTACATATTTAGTGTGCATTTCATGTGAAGTATTTTTGGTGCACAGCATTCGCACATTACCATCTGTATGTATACACCAAAATATTACGTATAACTGGTAGAACAGATGTGCGTATATGCATGTATATATGTAAACGGGATCCCTACATGTGTGCATGTGTATCTGCAACAACTGCACGCAACGGAGCGCTGTGCGTTTGTTGTTCTTTACGCTTGCATCCGTAAGGCGGAACGTAAATCAAAGCACAGCAAACGAGTAACGACTGTCCTTAGAAATGTGGACTGTCTTCATATCTGTCGCCTACATAACAGTAAGTCCTCCCCTGTCTCTTCTTACTCCACACTACCTGCTCGCCTCAAGCCCATGACAGGCAACGTGGAGAACAAAGGATACACCGCCCCTCTTAGCAGCGACTCAAACGATGTCATTGATGCCGTGGGAACACACATATATGTACATATAGGTGTGACTATATACATACGCATATCTAAATACATATATACACACGTCTAAATAAATATCTATCCTCGTGTGACGACGCCAGCATGCCTATAGGGTATGCCTCAAGGTGCCACTAGTCCTGTTCGTTGTGTTTTCTTCAATGCTTGCTGGCACTATGGCCTTGCGCCTCTGCGGAAGATAGGGAAGGATGGGTATGTAAGGAGCAAGAAGGGGAGATACAGGAAGCTAGATAATGCAATAGCAACAAGAATTGAGTCATCATTATTTGATGATGCAGGCGGCAGACGATGCCTAAGGAAAAGAAAATATGCAATAATTAAACCTGTTTAAAGGCACTGCACTAACTAAAGGCCTTCAACTCAGACAAAGCGGGAGTTGCCTCTTCCTTTGCAGCCTCCTTCACACAGGAGTCGCGGCAAGGCCACAGCTTAGCCGTTGCATCCAACGAAACTGCATAAAACAAACAAACACACACACACACACAGGAGGGAAAACACATGAAGAGGCGGAAGATAAATACCACTTAATAAACAGATAACGAAACAGCGCTGGCACAGAGCTGTACTGCACTGTCACACTTGCCACTTCGTCAGCCTTCATCACTTCAACTATCAAACTACCTGCTATACGGGGCTTCTGTTTGTTTCAAACAAACGCGTATGTAAGCCATATGCATCACACCAAGTCAACTGTGTACAGCAGCAACAGAAAGGACGCAAGCAACTATAACAACGGCTACGCCTACCGCTTGCCAAGACATCGGTTTTTAAGTCATAAGCCAAACACGTCACGAACTGCGAATGGGCATTTTCAATCGTCCTCTCGCAATCCCCTGAGATGAAAATAAAACGCAAATGGATCAGACGAGGGCTGGTCGTTTGTTTTTGTTGGTTGCCTTTGCGTGATAGCACCATTGTCCGCATTGAGTCTACACTCAACAAGAGACCTGCAGCGTTCATTTCCACTTATTACTTGTATTTCTAGGGCATCTGAGTTGCGCCAGTCACCTGTTAAGACGTTCCAGACGCGGATGCTTCGGTCGTCGCTACACGAGATGATGTGCTTCCCAGTGGGATGTACAACAACATGACGCACCCAATTGTCGTGGCCTACCTGCAAAAAATAATGATAGTAAGAAAAATGACCCAAAAGAACCCTCTTGCAGGCTAAGCAAAAAACTGCCCAAAGACAGCCCCAATGAAAACAATACCGAAGACCACAGGTCCAAATTCGAATAATAAAAACAAGTAAAGGGGATATTCCTTACGAGAGTCTGCATGCAGTTGCCTCCAATCACATCCCAAATTTTAATTGTTTTGTCTCGGCTGGCAGAAATCAAAACAAGACCAGCTAAGCGCAGCGCATGGGTGTTGTTCTCTCCACGTTCTGCCTCTGCAAGGGCTTTCGTATCCTGAAACACAGAAGAACAGCAGAATCTCCATCATGCTGTATTCAACGACGAGATCAGCGAGAGCAAAGATACCCGATCATCCGCTAGATGCAACCTCTCTTAGGTTCCGCTGGACGAAGAAAAAGGATCATTTTCACTTCGTCACAATTCAAAATTTGGTCTGTATTGTTACGTTCGCTTTGCACTGCAGAGCTTTTATTGCACGCAGAGCCTAGCCAGGGTCCTCCGCAGTATGCTCCTGCGCTCTCTCTACTTGGTTGTGCTGCTCTCACCAACATGGAAGCAGGCAAAGGAGGAGGCGCCTTCCTGTGTTTGTGCAGATGAAGCAGCATTGCCTCCGTGGCGAAAGTGACAGATTCAACCACGTGCTCGTGGCCAATCAACTCGCGGACCGCAGCACAGAAATCCGGCCGCCAAATCACAACCCTAAAATCCAACAGAACACAACGAGAGGGTGAAAGCCAAAGAATATGCAGCGTGCGCTCACCCGAAACCCAAACCCCTAATAACAGTGCTAACGCCAGACGTACAACTGGCAGAGTTGGTCATAAACCACAATCTCTGTGTGCTTTTCCCTAGACCCACAACCGTCCTCCTGCCTATCCCTGCTGTTTGTTCATAAAGAAATCCGCGTACGGGTAAGAGAAGGGATAGGGAGAGTCTGTCTGCAGCTCACGACTTGCCTTTGGTCGTTTCCGCCAGACGCAAAGAAAGGCGCTGGCAAGAGCTTCGCCTCCGGTACGCACAAGCAGCGGACCCATGAGCCTCCTGCTGCTGCTGCGGCTGCTGCTCCCCAGCCTCCTGAGGCATCTGTTGCTGTAAACGTCTTCAGACACAGACCCGAATCCCCGTCCCACAGCTTCACGCTGCCGTCACGAGAACAAGAAACAATGCATGCACTACCGCCACCAGGTGCAGCAGCAGCAGTTCCTTCTGGCTCTTTAACTGAAATGCCTCCATTGCGAATCTGCAGGGGGCGCGAGCCCGGAGGAGCTTTGTCGCTTTGACTGAGGGTGAGAAAGGCAACGGCCTGAAGCAACGCAACAACAAGTACGGCATGAATTAAATCAAAGTGAGACAAGCAAGATTACTGCAAGTGCTGTGCAGCTTTCTGAAATATTGTCACATCGGGGCAGCAAGCATTCTGCAACCAAAGCACGCCCGTTTTGATGAAAACAAAGAGATTCCATTCTGCATTACAATATACTGATGTATATACATTACATAGGAAGGCGTGAAAGGGGAAGGTGAACCGGAAATAGTAAAATGAATTGAAACACACCGAGACCGAATCGTTATGGCCTCTCAGTGTCTCCTTGAGGGTGTACGAGGTCTGCACGTCAAATAGACGAAGTGTCATATCGGTGGAACAGGTGACTAACCTACGGACAAAAAAGATTAAACAGGAACAAAGATGAAATCAATGGAAACGAACGGAAGTTCCCTCTCGTCTACAAACCCCGTGGGGTAGGTTCTCACAAGAGCCCACCCCCCAGCAGCCATTATCACTTCGACTGTCCTCAATACTAAACCTATTTCATTTTTAAGGTGGGATGAATACACAATGCCCACCAGCGACCCGAGGAGTCGAATGCCAACCCGGTGACGGAGGCATTGTGGGCCCTGAAGGTGCGCGATATGGCAGCAGTGCTGCTGCTTCCCTCTAAGGAGATTACCTATAAGAAACAGCAGCAAAGAAACATACACGCACAAACGATGTACCTACAGCGTGCTGCAGCACAGCTGTGCAGACACTGTCCGTCTCTTCGCCTTCAAGTTTAGGGGGAACTTTGTCTCACTCGAATATTGCCGTCGTCTGCTCCAGCCAAAAGCTGCGGCAAAAGGGGGTGAAAGGCGCAGCATATCAGCGGCTGTCTTTGGGCAGATATAACACAGGCTGGTTTGACGCTTGGGAGGCCAGCCACCTCCTTGCTTCCAGGACCAGACGCTGCTGATGTGAAGAGGTTCAGCTGCTGCTCTTGCTGCTTCAGCTGGTGCTGCAGCACCGTCACTCTCGCCTGGAGACGAGCTGTCGCTGCCCACCGCTTGGGCAGCGTCTCGCTATCGAACTTTTCCTCCCCCCGCGTGGTGGACGTTGCGGCTGAAAACTGAACAGAAACACCAGCAGTAGCAGCGGCGCAGGGCACTGAAATAGGCACAACGTGCTGCTGTTGCTGCTGCTGAATGCCTGCACCAGAACTCCTCTCAGAAGTCCTTCAGGAACGCAACACGCTTGAAGTATGTAGTTTCCCTTGTTGGCTATCCAGCAACCGCATCATCTACACCATGGAGATGGCTTCACGAAGCTAACTGCTGCTCGAGGGAGAATCCCCATAAATCCTAAACCCTAAATCCGTGACAGCTCTTCGGATGTCTTTTACAGCATTCCTTACATCGATATGGGCCTCTCTTTCAAATGCTCTGTGCGCCTCCGGGAACTTGGACTCCAAATAGAGGGCAATGGCCAAATGGAGCTGTTGCTCCTGTCGGGCTCTTAGCGCCATTTTCTCGCGCTCACCTGTGATATGGGATGGAACTACAGCTGACTCCCTTTAGTTTGGAGTGTGTGCAGCTGGTGGGGAGTGTGTGTGCCTGCATGCTCTGATGGCTGGCGTTCAGCAAGAAGTGGAGTAGGGTGGATCAAAAGTCACCCCCGATATGAGGGCTTGCAGTACATATGCACAGGCGTAGAAGTTTAAGTTAAAGGAGATGAAGGAACGGAGAAAGAAAAGCTGTTGTGCATGCCGGTGGTCTCAGCGACCCCTGTCCGCCTTCTTGGCGCGAACCATCGAAAGCAACGGCCCAACCGATTAATACTAAAATTAGTAGAAACCACGTCTAAGTACTTTGCTATTGTGCTTCTTGTCACGCTTTACTGAATAATATCGTGAATAGGCAGCCGGCCACTGCAGAGTTGCTCATCAAGCGTTGGACCGCCAGAGCTGTCTTGAGGCAGCCCAGCGTTACAGCTACTGTTCCTAATATGTTGTTTCATCGTAAATCTTTAAAGTTTATATTTGCTTTTTGCTTCAGTTTGTATATATCAAACAGTTTTCGGTGCGTTTCGGTTCTGCGCAACACAGTCTTCGCTCGCGCGCATCACACATACGATACAGCGGCCAGTCAGTGGGTTTTTGACTATTTTGCACCTCTCTCGTATGTTCCCTTTCCCTTCCCTGTCTAGTTATTATTAAAATTCAATTTATTTAGTTCATTTTTGCCTGAATTGTAGTAGGCTTCACGAGGAAAGCCAATGCGGCTTGCAATGGCAGGGGCGTGCGCACAGTGCTGTTGAGCCTGGGAATAAGCCAGGCAGAGAGTGCCTCCCAAAATTGAATAGACAGTATAAAAATGTTCACTCTCTCTTAACTACGACGCTGCAAATAGACATATGCCATTCAGACAGAGGCTAGTGCAGAGGTGCCCACCAGTACCTCAACAATTTTTGGAGTGGTATAGCTGGACACAGAACGGAAGACCAAGGGTTACTGAGAAAGGAAGTAAATAATGATGACTTATAAAGAGCAGCATGTCCCCATCACCTATGCATTTGTTCTAATGTACAGTGTTAAAGTGCCACCATGCACAGATTGACAAACTGAGGACCAGCAAGTTAACAATCAGTTTGCCGTTTAAAGCCCCTAAGTTTGCTCAGCTGTTCAGGCCATTCCTTCTGGATAGAAATGGGTCGCCTCGGCCAAGAGGAAAACTCTGAACCAGGGTTTGGAACGACAATGAAAACAGAGTTCAAACCGCACACACTACAAGGCATCAGCAGGCCTTCTGACGTTGTCTGCATGCACTATGAATACATACGGCCGTATTTATACATATATATACATATATATATGCACAAGTATACACGTATATATATGGATATTAAATGTGAACGTACGTATTCTTACACATATCTACTTAACACGCATTCGTTCATATTGCGGATTCAAATATGAAACTAAAGAACCTGACCAGGGAGCGGTGAGCCCGGAGTCCACTTCCCGGAACACCTCATTACGCAGAAACAGCTGAGGCGAGGTGGCGTGGCTCGTCATTTTTCTGTCATGAGCAAGGATGAAGAGGTACATGCATGCGTATATATATATATATATATATATATATATATAATATATATATAATACGCAGATATATATTCTATATGCAGGTTATGTGAAGTTCAGGACTGTTGAGCTTGTCCTGTTTGTCTTTCTTCTCAGTCATTGAGAGTGCCTGAGTGGCTTCGGATCTCTGTCGGCCTCATGCGCCAATTGGCTCATCACCCACTTCATCCTTCCTTGCGTGGCTATGAGTGCAGTGCACAAGTTGTGGGCCCCGTAGCTGCTGGGCGGGTCGGTAAGGAGTGGAGCTGCAAGGGCTGAGCCGAAATCTGCTTCGGGCACCAAGTCAGCCATGATGGTCAACACAGCGGTGTACGAGAGGAAATGCGTCAACACTGGGTTCAAGAACACCGAGTCCACGTGGCTCATGCTGGCCAGGGCCCCGAATGTGCGCTTCAAAAAGTTCCCCGCATGCAAATCGGTGCGTGTCCAGAGCCGGCCAAAGAAGTTCGGTTCCCTTGGATTAGTAGAGGCAACAACAACACGCTCAAGGTCGTCTAGCATAATCTGCAACCAGGGCCACATCGTCATCATGCGCACAAAACTTTTTTTGTATGAACTATGATTATTCAGCCCGTTGGGCACGGCCGGTAAGGGTTTGGGCAGAAAGCAACGATACCCTATGCTTTCTGATGCGTGCCCGCATAAGCAACAAGTGCTCAAGTGAATGCTATTGGGAGACGAAGGCTACTTTTACTTATGACTCTGCTGCTCTGCCAGCTCATATTGATGGGTTCTCACACATTTCTGCAGATACAGTGAGCAGCCATACTTCGGACCGCTGTGTGAAGCAGCTTATCATTTCAGCCCGAGTCAACTGACCCTGTAATGGAACGGTTTCCTCCATTGCAACCCATGGCCGAGCGCTGGCTCGCCGTTAAGTGTGGTAACAGGGTCCATACTGGTCGCAATATCGTGTACAAGGACGCCTGTACTCGTGAATTCTTTGTACGCGGCCTCGTTGCCCCACTGCTCATGACATAACCAACTCAAGGTGCACAACAAGGAAGTAAGGCGATTTGCCCAGTGCACTGCTACTACGCTGCAACTCTTAAGCTGCTCTGAAATGGGACATGCACCCACTAGGCTGAATTGCATTTGCTTTTGCTCACCGCGGGGGCACCAAAAGTCACACAACGAATCTGGAGAAGCCCTGCATCCAGCAGGGAGCGAGTCTGGTTAGCGTAGTACCAGGCTGCTATTTGTGCTACCGCTCCCCCTAGAGAATGCCCGGTGAACAGCACCACCTGCCGCTTCCGTGTGGCTTCCGCTTTCCTCGCCACTTCCTGCAGGTCATCCTTTAGCATGTCCTTGAAGATGCTTTCAAATGCAAACAAAAACCCGGAGTGAAGTTTAACCTCTCCAGAAGGCGACAGCTCTAGGTCACCAGTTGTTTCCCACATGGTGTTCAGGAGCCACATCTGTAAGCAGATGCTCGCACAACGATGTGTCGAATTAGAGGGGGATTCAGAAGGCTACACTTGATGAAACTGGAGCACAAACAACGTTCGCATTGGCAGCATGTGCTTAGCATGCACGTCTGTGTTCCTTTGTCCTGCTGGTGGCGCTAATCGGTGAGGCCCCAATAACGGGTTGACGTACTTTGGGAAACGCTGTGCCTCGGACCGCCCATATTCTGTCGACATAGTCGTTGTTTTTCTCATCGATTTCCCACGTCACCCATTCGGGTTCTCTTTCAAGCCGAAAGAGCCAAGGTGCCTCTACTGGCCGGACATACGTAGCATCAACGCCGCACTTGTCTCGATGCACCTTTGGAGGGCAGGAAACAGGCGCTTCGCTCATTGGGCAATTCCAGCCTAGAACACCAAGAGATCTCCAGAAGTCCGCGCGGCCCCACTGGGCCGTCAGCTGTCCTTCGGGAGCTTTCAGCTTGTCGAAGAACTCAAGGTCGGTGAGGTGTCGAGGACACGACTCTAACTTGTGGGTGTCTGGAGGCCTTCCCGGGTCCACTCGAAACCGAGGTGAGAGATCATCGTGCCGTAGAGGCCCTGCAAGCAAGACGTCTGGCGTTTTTGCTGGTGCATTACTAAGGTGGGGATTCGCGCGGGTCGCTTGCTAGTCAACGATGCAACACCTTGCGTCTGTGGAAAGTATGAATTTGAGGTTGGTTTGGTCTGTTGGCAGTACCTGCTTCAGCTGCTCGCACGGTTCCCACGCGTGTGACCTTCCAGGGCTTGAAGAAAAAAGTGCTTGCGTTCAGGCGGTGACTCCACTGCCACATGGATCCCACATCAAGCGCAATCAGATGCAGAACCCACAGATTGTGCCACGAGTCGTAGACTTGTTTTTTCCAGTCTCGTGGAGAGCTGAAGCTCTCGCGTTCCCCAACAGTGCGATGTGTCATTCGATTTCCGTCGTACACGCGGGGCTGCCAATCTGAAGGGATGTTCTTGGGAAATGCAACTTCAGCCCCAACCTTGCGCAAGTAATCGTATATAGGGTAGTCTCTGTAGTCCGGGCTGTCAGGACTCGGGTTGCGCACTGCGTCTTGCCAGGACTTCTCAGGGTATTCTTCATATGTGGTGCACGTGGTAGCTGCGTCCACATAACACACTCACTGCATTTTTTCGTTGGAATGGGGGACACAGTGCCTGTGATCGAAGAAATTGCAACCACTGCCCAAGGGCAGCCAGCAAATGGTCAAGATGAAAGTAGTATAGGTTTGGAAATCGTAGATTGTGGAAAACAAACCAAATTGAATGAGATCAGTGAGCGGGAGCAGTAGTTTCAGGTCTTTGAGGACGATACTGTTCAACGCTTCTCCAACATTGGCTTCCAACATGTTGACATTCATACCGGCGAAGGCATCAACAACGTGCCAAGCGAGACGCAGGCTGCTGGAGGTGATGAGTTTTCGGATCCACTCTTTTTTGTCTCTCGTGAAAGCAAGAGTAGAAGCAAATACAAGGGCTGCTTTTAGCCTCGGGTGGAGCACACTGAGCCTTTCAGTATCTAACGCCCTGATGTTTACAGCTGCCTCGTCCAGTTGGGCAACAACGCACGCAGGATCTGAGGAACTTCGTGTGTTTCCACTTCCAGAAAAAAAAAAATCATTGCACACGCGCAAAGACTGATATGCCTTTTCGTTGAACTCGCGGTCGAGACCCAGTCGCGTCAAATCCACTGTTCTCTTCAAATCTCCTAGCGTGGTTGGCAGCCCCGTTCCCATGGAGGTAGCGGCTGCCTTCCTCCCGTAATACGGTATTTCTTGAAGAAAGACTTTAGGGCAGGGGCCTGATGAGCGCCCAGTTGAGTCTATGGTAAGCGTGGGGGCTGTGCTGACCCCCTGGGAATGACGCAAGAAAACAGCAACCGGTGCAGCCTGTGCACCTTCTACTAGGGGGCAGTCATCGCGATCTTCTCCCACGAGCACATAGGGAGCTGGTGTGTTTGTGTACTCTGCCATGAGCCCGGCAACGTCGTTTTCGCCTGCGAACTCATTCAATAGTTCAGTTGCTCTTTGCTTATCAGCGGCGCGTTGTCCATTGGACGCCTCTGCTGCGTCGACGGACCCTTGGTGAGAGCAAAATACAAAGGGGGAAGCGACGAAGGCAGCAAGAAGGAAGAGAGGAATACAGGCAAACGAAAGGTGGGCCATCATGGTTTGTCGAAGAACAGTATTAGCGGGTGCGCAGCGCGCCCGGAGCAACAGTTGCGACTGCACCTTGCGTCCTCGCACGCCTGACTTTCTCCTGCCCCCTTCTTCCTCCCTTTAACCCCGTTTATATAGTTGAATATATATTTCTGGTTTGAAGGGGAAACCGAGACTAGTGAGCAAGAGACGCCGCCAGGCGTTGCCGGCGGGGCCGGGGTCACCTGCAGCAGGTACTCTGGGGATGTGCTCGAACGGTAGAGTGGTGGAGTGTTGCTCTGGAACACTAAAAAAATCAAAAAAATGCAACTCCCAAGTCGTTTCCCCTTTTGAGGACGGCAGACACGGGGGCACAGGTACTGCCAGGCCGTCCACTGGCTTTTACAGCCGGCACGCGCACGCGCTGTGGCTGCATTCAATCCTTTGGAGAATTCGTTTATCTGGTATACATATATTTGCTTTCCAATTCTAATATTATTTCTATGAACGGGTTCAAGCATGCGTCGGCACCCCTCGCTATCACGGTCCGCTCTCCGTCAGCGGCAGAGTCCATTAACACAAAAATCGTTTACGCTTGTCCCACGGGAAAACCCCCGCAAACCTTCGATTCCAACATAAACTCCCTATTTAATAATCCAAAATCGCACTTCATTCATTAGTTCCTCCCTGTTATTTGGCATCAACGACATCAAACAAATTCGCGCGTTTCCTTGGACCAGCAGCAAAGCACAGGTTAGAAAAAGCATATTCTGGGAAACAAAATGGCTTGCTCTTGTTCGTTTTCATCTGGAAAGCGCTTCCTTAGTGAAAACCCTAAGATAAACCAAAATAACACCTCTAGAGGGGGGGAGGAGCCACTACGAATGCAACCATGATCCGAGGACCTTCCCCGAGGACCGTCGTGAGCCGCGATCGAGCCAAAAATCTTATGGTTAGAATTTCCTGGAAAGCAGATGAACTCCTATTCCGTCACCAGCCGCAGGCGTTGGGACGCCAAGAAGAGCGTCCCAAACTGTGGCTAAGGGAGAGGAGGCGGCGTGTCACGAGTTGCAACGCACCTCGTTGCAACAGAAAATGCAAAGGCACCTTCACATGCACGCGCTATAATAATAACATTTTATATTATAATATAAATAAACATATTATTGAAAATTTTTATTTGTTAAATTCTTTAAGTATAACCAACCTCCCTTTTGTTGCCTTCACTCACACAGTATATTATCGTTGTACTTCTTCTAGCGTGCAGGATGCATGCTACTATCACGTAAGTGTTCATGCGCAGGCATCGAACAGATCATGCTGCAAAGAACTGCGCTTGGCCTAGTGATTGACGAAAACAGGATTTAGGCAGTATTTTCCGGATCTATGCCCAATTTTTACGACTTCATCCACACATACCTCAACTGCAGAGGAAATATGTAACAGTAAGCTTAAGGGATTTGAATCTAATAATACAAAGTTGCGTTTGGTTATTCTTTCATTCATACTCATTGAAAACATGCAGCGGGCGTGGGATGAGAAACGGCTCCATCGTACAGGGACTGGGTGCTCTACCTTTGTGCCACAGAAATGCGTCGGTCAATCTAGAACAGGCAAATTGGGGCAAGCGACAAGCACGTTGTCACGTATATTCAAGGGAGCAAAGAGGCCAAGGTGGTCCAAGTGAAGCTGAAGGCGAGAACTAACAGAGAAAATCTAGCTGTCAAAAAAGGTAGTTCCTAAACGCGAAGAATTGAAGTATCTCGTGACGGGAGATAGGAATGCGACAACTGAGGGAGGCCGGTGCTATTGATTGGAGGGGAAAAAGAGATAAATAACAGTAAGTCACCCAATCAATATACTGAAAACAAATGGGTATACAAGATCATTTCCTGCGGTAAGCTTATATGAACAATGTAAACAAAACCTTCGACGAAACTTGGATGAAATCTCTTTGTATTTGTGCCACGCGTTGCCAAGTGGCTAGCAGATATACAATAGAAGAATTTACGATGTTTCCCGAAAGTTGGGTTAAATGATCCATGTCAAGGAATCGCTGTACAAAAACTCCCCGGGGTAAAAAGCTCCCCGTGGTATGCAACTAAATTAAGATAGTCCACTGTTTTTCTTGTCCTCAAGAAGTTTTTGCCGCTGCACTGAACGAACAC